AAGCTGAGTGTTGTCTAAAGAGTGAAGACATGATATATTCATGTCTTTTTATTCATCATCATGTCAACTCTTTACAGTTGGAGAAGCTTTATTAAAGTTAGAGAAGGATTAAAATCCGCATCCACTCTCCAAATAGCCGTCATGACGAATATTGATCAAAATTTCATTGAGGATGCACCTGTGGTCTTGAATTTTCATGTGGATGCAAAGAAAGCACAGTTAACGCAAAAGGAAATTGAGGGATACAATTTAGCCAAACAAATGCAACATTGCAAATTAATGAATCGACTCTTTAAAAGCATGTATCACTACTATGCTGAAGGATATACTTTGACTTATCACTTGAAAGAAGCTTTACAAAAAGTGGTGGAAAGAGGCAAAACAAATTCCGATTCTATTAAGGAATATGGAAGAGAGTTGAGAAAGCAGAGAAAGGAAGGCCTCTATGCTATCATCATCAACACCACTAGTACTTCATCTACAAGTACCAGTACAGGAAGTGGAGAAAGTATTCAAAGTTTGGAACGAGATTCCAATTTCATGTGCTCCTATCAATATATTCATCATAATCAGACGAGCAGCTCGAACGATCATCAGCAACAGATCCCTAATGCCTATTCATCCTCATCATCTTTATCATCATTGAAAAGTAGTAGTAGCAGCACAAATTCAAACAATCATTCTTTTAATAATGGAAAAGTACTGCAACTACTGGCAGCTCTAACAATAATAATGGTTTCAAACCAAAACAAGCACCTCCGGTTCCTAACAAGAGTTGGTATCAACAAAACGAAGTCATGGATAGAAGTAGTGAAAGCAACAATTCAAATTCTTCATCGTCAGCAGCAACAACAAGTCAAACGTCATCCTTGGCTTCACCTTCTATTAATGAGCCACCCCAACTTCCAGTGTTTGATTTGAAACAAAGGAAAGTCAATTCTCGTCTAGTGGACAAACCACAAGGTCGAGTTGAAAATTCAGACCCGTACCACTCGACCAATGAAGTTGAATATAATACTCCTCCCTCACAGCAGAAACCTTATCAACAACCAAAACAATTTTCCAATGCACCTCCTGTATTGTCCCAACCTCAAACGAAACAAACGACTTTTGAAAAACCTCAACAACAACCATCTGTTGTGACAACACTGATCTTAAACTCTCAACTACAGGAAACATCTCAATTTACTCAAAATGATGAACGACACAACTATGAAGAAGAAGAAAATGAACAAGAGTGCACTTCTGCCTCCCGAACACTACCAAACTCTCACTTCTCTTCACCTCATGGGAATGAAGATTACGAAGAAGAGCCTCCCATTGTGGAAGAAGAATCCTATCAACATATTCAGAAGCCAGCAAAAGCTTCTCCTTCAACTCCAAATATATCTGCCTCAAAACCTGTCATCCAATCTCATTCACAAAGAAAGGATTATGTTCAATCTCCTCAAGAGTATGAAGAGGAGAATGTGGTTGCCCATCATGCCTCAATGTGTCCGGACAAGGCGAATCCAAAAACAATGCATCAGTTTCATGTAAACCACCAGTGCCTCAGTCAAGAAATTTTCAACAATCCACATCTCGACAAAGAAGTGTGCATGTAAGTTCAATAACCCCACAACACGAGTATAGTCAAGAAACTCAACCTTCCAGTGATGCCATTCACTTTAGTCATATTGACAAACCTTGTAAGGTGTCTCCACCAACTCCTTCCACAAATTCAAACTCGTGGCAAAACCTCTAAAGGTGCCTCAAACCAATTCCTTGAAAAAGGCCCTGATCTACTCTGAAAGCCAATTCCGAAACAACAACATTACAAATCATCGAGAGCATGAAGAAGAGAGTCACCACCCAGCGACAAATGTTGTCACTAAAAGACCTCTACCACCTTCACAATTCTCGAAAGGTTCTTCAACAGCAGCATCATCAACGACCTCTTCATGTCATGAAATACAGCAGGCATCAAAACCTCAAACTTCAGTACAACCTTTCAAAACCACAATCCTCGTCAATATCCAGAAAGCCAGCATCATTTACAACAGACGAGAGTCATATTAACAACCAACGACAAGAAGCAATGCCACATGCCAAATCAAATTTCAGTGTTGGTGATGGTGTGAACAAGGTTGTTGGAAATAGTTCTCCTCAAGTCATGCAATTGGCCCAAATGATTTCTCAGTCAGGTATCTTTGCATCAAAACCTCCACCCCAAACTCAACAACAACAGCACTATCCAAAACTCTTCTCGGCCAGTACGAACTGATGACACGGAAAGTAATGATGGCTCTCACTCCAATAATTGTAGTGCTTACACTCAGCAGCAACCGTCGTTCAGTCGTTCAGAAGAAAAGCTCCTCCCCTTCCCGCTCAAAATATCGAAATTATCCATAAGGGTTTGATTTTTTTTATACCTCATCCATCGATATGACGATAGGAGTTATTTCAAGAGATCAATGACAGTTAATACACTTTAGAGGACACAATGAGTTGATTTTTACTTGCGAAACATTCACCAATTTTCTTCAAGAAAGGACCACCTGAAGCACACCCTCACTCTACCGTGATATGATTTTTGGTTTGGTTGCGATGAAAAGTTCTTAACATTTAAATATATCTCCCATTCATTATCGAAGAGTAAGTTATAGCTGTTCCCGTCGACAAAGGAGCACAAATAGTTTTTCTGGTATTTTTCTACAACCTCTTTTGGAAATGTTTCAGGTGTGTGAAGTGCAACACACACCTGCATCATCTTTGATGATTTAAATACTTCTAAAACATCATTTCTGATGTCATTATACCATTTTGCACTTGAATTAACTTTCATGCTTTTGCCATTCGCATCATCTATTATGTTTTTGAATTATCCTTCACCACGAAACGATTTTCATTGTTAATCTTGGTTTCTTCAATATGGTAACTATTTAAATTGTAAAGGGTCTCAGATTTCAGTTGTGCATAATTATCGAGATAAAATAGTTCAGGGATAGTGGAGCTAAAATATGAATGTGGGTCAAATTTAGTTCCAGCTTGCGCTTTACACTGTAAACCCATTGGAATGATCATATCTGTTGATCCTTCAACTCTGTTAATACCAAACACGTCGTTATGGTGTGCATCAGATGGAATCATAAAACTCCATCAAGTAAATCCCACTTCTTTTCGGCAAAGTGTGTCCAGAACAACTGTTCTCCATTTAAACCTTTCTTTGGTTTTATAACACCTTTCGAAATGCAGTACTCTACATAACCGTTTGGATCCAAACAATGTTTGCACTTGAATATATGATCTTTTAGGTTTGGATTGTTGGTGATTAGTGGCTTGAAACAACCAATTGTAGACAAACGTGTACCGTCTAACTGTACGAGTCTAAGCATAACAATCGATTTCAAATCAATGTCGTAGTCAAAAGATTTCAGGATCAAGTAGATCTTTTCTGAATAATCTTTTTCATCAATTCCTTCGGCACCGAATCTCCCTCTAGAATTCCGTTTTCCAAACTCTCACAGCCAATGAAATCCTTTGCAGAAAACACAAAAACAGTCTGACCATTTTGAACATAGGTCCTTTCTGGGTCCAGCCACCCAGAAGAGAGTAAAATATCAGCAACCTCTTCATTGCGCACCCCAAACCCAGAACCCAAAAATGGAAGTTGATGATGAACAACATAATTGACGATGGCTTCATGAAATCTTAGTCCAATTACAGCCTGTTGTGCTTCTAATCGAGAACGTTGCTTATCATCACTTCCTTTACCTCCCGATCCGTAAGAAGAAAGGCTTTTGTTGTTACTTCATCTTTGTCAACAAGGAAGATAATGTATGGAAAGAGCGCACCGAAGCGTTCCTGTACAATGATGACTGAAAATAAATGATGACTCTAAGATTGCCCAAGCAAGAGGTTAGAGTCTGATCCAAGTGTACCTTCACCAAAAACCACACCCCCAAAAACGTGAGAAAGAAAGGGTTGATGTTCTATGATGAGCAAATGAGCCACGGAAACAAAGGGTGAGAAATGTTCTTCAGAATTTTTTTATAGGTTTTTACAGAAACGGACCTAAAGCAACAAGGCTTGTTGTTGGAGACCTTAAAGTCGAAATTGTATATAGGGTAATACTTTGACCTAAGAAGATTAGGATCTTTGTTCCGTATAATCAACGGAATCCAAGAAGCAAATGATCACACCCGTTCTGTAGATCTTGTTGAACCGGTGATGATTTTTAATCATAAACAATCAGCTCCGTCCAAGAAAAAATTGAACATGAAATACTACGCCGTTTATCAGGGCAGGAGGACTGGAGTCTCTCACGGACTGGAATGAGCGCCAGCATCAGGTCTCTTGGCCACCCAACGCAATCTACAAAGTCCCTTTTAACAATGCGGTGAAAGCCGAATCATTTGCCGCTTCTCGGGTGGGATTATGAAAACTTTATTCGGTGGTGTGGGAATAACAATATTGATGTTATAGACACCTACGGAACTAAACAACGAGGGCAGCAACAGTGATGATGATAATTCCGATAATAATAATAACAATAATAATTGTGATAATAATAATAACAATCTGCATGATGATCGTCCAGTATGCAGATATTGGCAACGTGGATACTGCAGATATGGAGATTCATGCTGGTTCTACCATCCACCCTCTCCCGTACAACAACGAACAAACCTCACCAAAATCCCTCCCCCCATGCTGGGATCCCTCGTCTTGCTCCACTCATGAAAGGGCAAGGCAAGCTTATCAACATCAAATGGATTATGATGATGACGATTATGATCCAGATGAGCATCAATATGGAATGCACATACAGGATGTAAATACTCTTCTCTCATATGGAGTAAAACCTTGGGATGATGACGCATGGGATGTGTTGGATGCCTTGTATGATTATTAAGGTTATAGATATTTAATTGTTAATGTATGCTTTAATTTATGCTGATTATTATGCATTTCTCGCGAAATTCTCAACACAGGAAACCATAGCTGGTGGGATTTGAGGGTTTGGGTTTGGGTTTGGGTTTGGGTTTGGGTTTGGGTTTGGGCTTGGGCTTGGGCTTGGGCTTGGGCTTGGGCTTGGGCTTGGGCTTGGGCTTGGGCTTGGGCTTGGGTTTGGGCTTGGGCTTGGGTTTGGGTTTGGGCTTGGGCTTGGGCTTGGGTTTGGGCTTGGGTTTGGGCTTGGGTTTGGGCTTGGGCTTGGGCTTGGGCTTGGGTTTGGGCTTGGGTTTGGGCCTGGGCCTGGGCCTGGGCCTGGGGGTTTGGGTTGGGTTTGCCTGGGCCTGGGCCTGGGCCTGGGCCTGGGCCTGGGCCTGGGCCTGCCTGGGCCTGGGCCTGGGCCTGGGCCTGGGCCTGGGCCTGGGGTGGGCCTGGGCCTGGGCCTGGGCCTGGGCCTGGGCCTGGGCCTGGGCCTGGGCCTGGGCCTGGGCCTGGGCCTGGGCCTGGGCCTGGGCCTGGGCCTGCCTGGGCCTGGGCCTGGGCCTGGGCCTGGGCCTGGGCCTGGGCCTGGGCCTGGGCCTGGGCCTGGGCCTGGGCCTGGGCCTGGGCCTGGGCCTGGGCCTGGGCCTGGGCCTGGGCCTGGGCCTGGGCCTGGGCCTGGGCCTGGGCCTGGGCCTGGGCCTGGGCCTCTGGGCCTGGGCCTGGGCCTGGGCCTGGGCCTGGGCCTGGGCCTGGGCCTGGGCCTGGGCCTGGGCCTGGGCCTGGGCCTGGGCCTGGGCCTGGGCCTGGGCCTGGGCCTGGGCCTGGGCCTGGGCCTGGGCCTGGGCCTGGGCCTGGGCCTGGGCCTGGGCCTGGGCCTGGGCCTGGGCCTGGGCCTGGGCCTGGGCCTGGGCCTGGGCCTGGGCCTGGGCCTGGGCCTGGGCCTGGGCCTGGGCCTGGGCCTGGGCCTGGGCCTGGGCCTGGGCCTGGGCCTGGGCCTGGGCCTGGGCCTGGGCCTGGGCCTGGGCCTGGGCCTGGGCCTGGGCCTGGGCCTGGGCCTGGGCCTGGGCCTGGGCCTGGGCCTGGGCCTGGGCCTGGGCCTGGGCCTGGGCCTGGGCCTGGGCCTGGGCCTGGGCCTGGGCCTGGGCCTGGGCCTGGGCCTGGGCCTGGGCCTGGGCCTGGGCCTGGGCCTGGGCCTGGGCCTGGGCCTGGGCCTGGGCCTGGGCCTGGGCCTGGGCCTGGGCCTGGGCCTGGGCCTGGGCCTGGGCCTGGGCCTGGGCCTGGGCCTGGGCCTGGGCCTGGGCCTGGGCCTGGGCCTGGGCCTGGGCCTGGGCCTGGGCCTGGGCCTGGGCCTGGGCCTGGGCCTGGGCCTGGGCCTGGGCCTGGGCCTGGGCCTGGGCCTGGGCCTGGGCCTGGGCCTGGGCCTGGGCCTGGGCCTGGGCCTGGGCCTGGGCCTGGGCCTGGGCCTGGGCCTGGGCCTGGGCCTGGGCCTGGGCCTGGGCCTGGGCCTGGGCCTGGGCCTGGGCCTGGGCCTGGGCCTGGGCCTGGGCCTGGGCCTGGGCCTGGGCCTGGGCCTGGGCCTGGGCCTGGGCCTGGGCCTGGGCCTGGGCCTGGGCCTGGGCCTGGGCCTGGGCCTGGGCCTGGGCCTGGGCCTGGGCCTGGGCCTGGGCCTGGGCCTGGGCCTGGGCCTGGGCCTGGGCCTGGGCCTGGGCCTGGGCCTGGGCCTGGGCCTGGGCCTGGGCCTGGGCCTGGGCCTGGGCCTGGGCCTGGGCCTGGGCCTGGGCCTGGGCCTGGGCCTGGGCCTGGGCCTGGGCCTGGGCCTGGGCCTGGGCCTGGGCCTGGGCCTGGGCCTGGGCCTGGGCCTGGGCCTGGGCCTGGGCCTGGGCCTGGGCCTGGGCCTGGGCCTGGGCCTGGGCCTGGGCCTGGGCCTGGGCCTGGGCCTGGGCCTGGGCCTGGGCCTGGGCCTGGGCCTGGGCCTGGGCCTGGGCCTGGGCCTGGGCCTGGGCCTGGGCCTGGGCCTGGGCCTGGGCCTGGGCCTGGGCCTGGGCCTGGGCCTGGGCCTGGGCCTGGGCCTGGGCCTGGGCCTGGGCCTGGGCCTGGGCCTGGGCCTGGGCCTGGGCCTGGGCCTGGGCCTGGGCCTGGGCCTGGGCCTGGGCCTGGGCCTGGGCCTGGGCCTGGGCCTGGGCCTGGGCCTGGGCCTGGGCCTGGGCCTGGGCCTGGGCCTGGGCCTGGGCCTGGGCCTGGGCCTGGGCCTGGGCCTGGGCCTGGGCCTGGGCCTGGGCCTGGGCCTGGGCCTGGGCCTGGGCCTGGGCAGCCTGGGCCTGGGCCTGGGCCTGGGCCTGGGCCTGGGCCTGGGCCTGGGCCTGGGCCTGGGCCTGGGCCTGGGCCTGGGCCTGGGCCTGGGCCTGGGCCTGGGCCTGGGCCTGGGCCTGGGCTTGGGCTTGGGTTTGGGTTTGGGTTTGGGCTTGGGTTTGGGTTTGGGTTTGGGCTTGGGCTTGGGCTTGGGTTTGGGTTTGGGTTTGGGCTTGGGCTTGGGTTTGGGTTTGGGCTTGGGCTTGGGCTTGGGCTTGGGCTTGGGTTTGGGCTTGGGTTTGGGCTTGGGTTTGGGTTTGGGTTTGGGCTTGGGTTTGGGCTTGGGCTTGGGTTTGGGTTTGGGCTTGGGTTTGGGCTTGGGTTTGGGTTTGGGTTTGGGCTTGGGTTTGGGTTTGGGCTTAGTTTGGGTTTGGGCTTGGGTTTGGGTTTGGGTTTGGGTTTGGGTTTGGGTTTCTGGGTTTGGGCTTGGCTTG